GGCGGAACGCATAGACAGGGAGCAACTCTGCGGGCAGGTGCAGATGTGCCTGATAAACCTAGAAATCTTGGTAGAATTCTCTATGAAGGTTTTCAAAGTGGATGTAGAAATCACCGACCTGAATGACAATGCTCCCAAGTTCCAGCAAGATAAACTGCAGTTTCGAATCAGTGAAACAGCAGCGGTGGGAACGCGGTTCCCGCTGGAAGAGGCACAAGACATGGACGTGGGGCTGAATGCGCTGCAGCGCTACGAGTTGAGCGGCGATGAGCACTTCGCTCTGGATGCGCAGACCGGAGCAGATGGCTCGAAATATGCGGAGTTAGTGTTGTCGAAGGCCCTCGATCGGGAAGAAGTCGCTTTTCACGATCTCGTGCTGACGGCAGTGGACGGTGGGGATCCAGCGAGGACGGGCATGGCGCGGATCCACGTGGTCGTGCTAGACGCCAACGACAACCCGCCGGTGTTCAGCCAGGCGGTGTACACAGTGCGGGTGAGGGAGGACGTGCCTGTTGGCTCTGTCCTGCTCGCCGTGAACGCCACGGATGCGGACGAAGGCACCAATGCGGACGTAGCTTATTCCTTGCGCAGGGCGCCCGGCGGAGCATCGCGCCTCTTCCAGGTGGACCCCCGAAGCGGAGACGTCACGACGGTGGGCAGACTGGACTACGAAGAATCGCCTCTATATGAGCTGGAGGTCCAGGCGAAGGACGGTGGGGACCTCTTGGCTAGGGCAAAAGTCCTGGTGAACCTGATCGACGTGAATGACAACGCGCCTCTTATCACCGTGACGTCTGTCGTGAGCTCTGTTTCCGAGAACAGCCCCCGGGGGACTGTTATCGCTTTATTAAAAGTTAAAGACGAAGATTCAGGAGCGAGTGGGAAGGTGAGACTATCCCTCGCCGACACGTTCCCCTTCCGCCTGGAGAAGTCTTTTGAAGACTACTACAGCGTGGTGACATCGGGGGAGCTGGACCGCGAGGCGGTGGCGGAGTACAACGTGACGGTGCGCGCGACGGACGGCGGGTCGCCCGCGCTGTGGAGCAGCGCGGTGCTGCCGCTGCGCGTGCTGGACGGGAACGACAACGCGCCGGTGTTCGCGGAGGCGCGCTACAGCGCGTGGCTGCCCGAGAACAACGCCAAGGGCGCGCTGGTGCTGACGGTGCGCGCGTGGGACGCGGACTGGGGCGAGAACGCGCGCGTGCGGTACCGGCTGTGGGAGGGGCAGGTGCGCGGCGCGCCGCTCTCGTCCTACGTGTCGGTGCACGCGGAGACGGGCGCGCTGTACGCGCTGCGCTCGTTCGACTACGAGGAGGTGCGCGAGGTGGAGCTGTGGGTGCGCGCGGAGGACGGCGGCGCGCCGGCGCTGAGCAGCAACGTGTCGGTGCGGCTCTTGATCGTGGACGAGAACGACAACGCGCCGCAGGTGCTGTACCCGCCGGCGGCGTCGCCGGGG